CATGCGTGAGAAAAAGCCTGTGATCTGCTTGCTTGTCAAGAATTCTTCGTTAGAAAATAAGCGATTACCGTCAGTGTCCCTAGCGGTCATCATGTCTTTAGCTGCTGCTGCGGCATTTACTTTGTGGCCTGTCTTTCCCCAATGTGGAATTGAATGGACAGATACTCCTTTTGCTTCTGCGAAAACCTTTTGGTTTAGCTTGACTTTAGAGCCCAGCCAATCGGTAAAGATGGTTCTAAACTGCTACTTTTGTTTTTCGTGAACTGATGCATCTGAGGAACATTGCTGAACTGTTCTTCCAGTCTTACTGGGTACTCACATGCTGCTTTATCATAAAGAGTCTCCATTGCTCTTTGATGTTTTCCCACATCTAAATGGTGTTGCAGCGCCGAGAATCGTTGATATGTTTTAACACATCCTTCTTCAGGGCATGAATAGAGAAGACCAGTCGTGCAACCATCTGATGCTGATTCGCTGCTCTCGCTTGAACAGGCAGCAGAACTTTCTTGGACTTTTTCTGCRGTTTTAGTCTTGGCTGTGATGAAGTTTCCGCCAGTAGCAACATCGACGTCCATGTACTATTATGCATCAAGGCATACATTCAACAATGATCTTGAACAGTCGACTCCTTTGCTGTCGTGACGTCATATCCTGACGTCAGGTCGTGGTTTGTTTTGATAATTAAAGAAATAAAAAGCCCGGGTTTATAGGTTTCCTTCTTGTCAAAACAAACCACGACCACAACGTGACGTCACGATATGACGTCACGACAGCACAGGGTGCCCAAACCGATTTTTTGATGAGATTAAAATCGCTTTAATTGGCTTACTAATTATTTCTCGAAATTTTTAATACGATTTTCGAAATCAGCGTTAAATTCTACATAATATAAGTTCAACTTGCTGAGAAGTAGAGGGTCCCTTTAATCTATGCGTGTATACTAAAAGTGCGTCTTTTGTAAGCTCGGATTATTACCTTGAAATCACTTTTCAAGTACCGTTTAGATGATTTCAGCTCCAGCTTTCGTTCCTTAGCCCACGTCATACCTTTGAAACAATCTCCTAGTCTTTCTACCACTTGACAAAGATCGTCAAATGCCTGACCTCCTTTGGAACTTATATRATCAATCCCCTGTAAGGACTTCTGTACTGAGGCTGGACAACTGGAAAGAATCCTTAATGGGTGTGAATCCAATTTCTTCTGAGTATGCCAAATACTGCTTTACTATCGACTCAGGTATCATCATTCGAATGACATTGGGTACGGTTATCACCTCCTTCGTAGACAGTTTTAACGATCTTTCACCAAACGGAAGATCCTGGATAACATGTTGACWGGTGATGAAGTCYAGAAAATGCTCTAACTGGGTTTTGGAGACAGACACTCTCGTACGACAGGACTGCTGTGGTGGTACGCCCCTAACATGGACTAGAACGTGCTTTCGGGCGGTGCTAAATCGATAACACGTGATTTCTGGAATCCATTTCTTCAGCTTTTGAAACTTAACTTTGTCGGCCATGATCGATGATCTGTCGCCTAGTTTCCCAGCAGCTTGCATTGTAGTAACACTCAGCCAATGCTTCCATGAATACATTATCCACTTGATCATCTTCTTCGAATTYGTCATCACTGTACAACTCTTGTATTAACGAATTGGACTGAACTAGAGAACGCCACAACTGACCAGACTGATTGGGTGCCACCTCTTCTAGTACTGCAGCAATTGCTTGACTTGACTTGCGTACATATCTACTTCTTGTTCTCTTACTCGCMYCTTCCCAGGGTGTTTTCAATTGACTTCTAACTGGACTGATATCTCTGCTCTGTAAAAAGGCATTCATTTTATCAAGCGGCTTGGTAGGATCTTCGTTTGGAGAGAAAATACTTCCTTTTGTTGTCTCAAAATCATCATCAGTATCATATTTGGACAAACCAGGGTTGCTATGAGCAGCGGGAATAGTGGTKTCAGGAAATTCTTCATTCTGTCAAATCAATGGATAACTTATTACTTGTGCATCATGTACAAGAATGTGTTATAATCATTGACTCGAGAGTGTGTCGAGAATATCACTGTTTGTCTCTTAGTCTGTGACTTAACAATTCTGTCTTCCCCAGGCGTTTTTCATTCCCATCCAAATATCAAATGGGATACAGAGGAAAGGAAACTGGGCTTCCATCGTTTTCGAGTGGATTCATGCAAGATAAAGCACCGGCAAATAAYGCACTAGTCAAAGTMAGCCCCCACCCCACCCATCCCCAACCCGGGACAGGGTGGGGMAAAATATCACATTTGATAAGGAATGGTGTCCCAGGAGGTGCGRATAAAGTGGGTATTTGACGGGGGTGGGGTAATAGAAGGGGATTAGGTCAGGAAAAGACTGCAGTTAGAAGAAAAAGCCTGGAAATTTAAGCTTCAGGTGGTGGGGGATTTGATGTTTATTTTTGCTCCAACATTTATAGAACTGATTTTTCATATGCCACATTAATCCCCACAGTGTCCAGTGTTTGGGGTGGGGGATGGTGGTATAGTTTGACTTGTGCATAAAGACTATGTGACTTACCAAGGAAATATTTTGCATTTTGAATGTTATTTCGTCGATTTCATCGGATGTGTTCAACTGAATGGCATTAAGGGTCTTTCTACAAAAAGAGCACACACCTGAACGAAATTAAAAGTACAAGCATTGTTGACTCCTTTTGCGCATAAAGTGTAAAGCCTCACATTGCAATTATACGTATTTCTTGTATAATAGAGTGCTTTTAGTCAAACTGTGAAAAACTTAGTTAACTAAATAACTATTTAGTTGACGTCACATAAATTAGTAAAAGCGCGCCAAAGCAACCGTCGAGAAAATCAGGGGGGACATAGAAAACTGCACTTAAAAAAGTTTTGATGGCGAAGGTCCAAKAATTTATTTCTTTACAGTTCTTAGGGCGCTATTTCTGAATTTTATCGAATGATTTACAAAAGTAGAGAAGAATAATTAAAATGAAATGCGCCTGGCTACGTTTATATTTAAGATAACTCTTTCTACACGAACCGCGAACATGAATAACATCGCTAATGACACTGTCTTGCTTTACATTTTGTAAGAGCTTCAGAAAGAACAGATCCAGATTATTTGACCGTTAAAGACTGCTCAACTCAAGCTTGGAAAACACTTACAGCGTATTTCACAAAACTTTGCCGGTTTGTTAATGTTTACAGCCCCGGTAAAACAAAGCCAGCTAAATACAGCTCCCCCTGATTTTTTCGACGGTTGCTTTGGCGCGCTTTTACTAATTTATGCGACGTCACCTAAATAGTTATTTAGTCAACTAAGTTTTTCACAGTTTGAGTAAAAGCACTCTATTATTTATTAAGAGAATTAGAATAAGAGACAAACCGCACCTGTTCCGATAGGGAGAAAAATACCACTTTCTCTAAGTACCAACTGGGAACCCACTTTGTTTAATCCTCTCTGTGCCTTTGGCCTTTTGTTGGCGCGATGATTGGAAATAAGGTCTGGTATTT